ATCTGACGTGTAAGGATATAATCTCGTGGAACACGATTATTATGGGTTACGCTATTCACGGGCTCGAAAAACATTGCTTCGGTTTGTTCTCTGAGATGATAGAAATGGGATTCGAACCGAATAAAAGCACATTCGTTTCGATTTTATCGGCCTGTAGCATAACCGGCAATGTGGACAAAGGTTGGAAATATTTCGATTTAATGAAGAGAGGATTTGGGATTGATGCAGAAATTGAACATTATGGATGCATGCTCGATTTATTAGGTCGTGAGGGCGATTTCGACCGTGCAAAGAGGTTCATAGAGGAAATGCCACTAAAACCGACTAAACGGATATGGGGTTCTCTACTGTCTGCAAGTCGACATCATAAAAACATCGAACTTGCTGAGCTGGCAGCAGAGAAAATATTCTCTTTAAACGATGATGATGATAATACGGGATGCTACGTGCTGCTTTCGAACCTTTATGCCGAATTAGGAAGATGGGAAGATGTCGAGCGGATTAAAAAATTAATGAAAAAACGAGGCTTGGTGAAAACCGCAGGATTCAGCACGGTCGAGCAAAATGGTAAAGCGTGCAATTTCGTAAATTACGACAAGTCGAAAAACGAGAGTGGCGTTATATATGAAGTTCTCGATATTTTATCGAGAAAGATTGGCGAGGAGGAGGTGTGTTCTTGCAATGTGACTTTCAAGTTGCCGGATTTGGTGAAAAAGAGAAAAGACCGTCCGGCGAATCACAGTGTGAGATTGGCTGTTTGTTTCGGGTTGATCGGGACAGCTGTCGGCGACCCATTGGTCGTTAGAAAAAACGTGAGAATGTGCAGAGACTGCCATGGCGCGATGAAGAAGATATCGCATGTTACGAACAGGGAAATAGTTGTTGGGGATTCGAAAATGTGGCATCGTTTAAAGGATGATCGATGCTCGTGTGGAGATTACTGGTAAAATTTTTCATCTTTTTTAAGGAGAAAAAAATTGTTGTATCATTACATTTGTTCATATTCCATGGATGCTTTTAGAGCATATTAATGTATGTACTCAACATATATATACTTGGATCAAAATTTCCAGAACTTTTACAGATTGGTTTTGAAAATTTCTCAGAATGGGACATGCTTAGGGTTTTATTAATAATTTTGTAATATTGGAAGTCCCATGTTAGTACACACTAGTATGAGTCCCGTGCAGTGCACGGGTAGGAGATATTCACTAATATTTATAAATTAAAAGTTCTTATTAAGCAATATTTATAAATTAATAATATGGAATCAATATATAATACAATTACTTATTCTAATTTATAGAAAATATTATAATGTTTAAATTGTACAAAATTACTAAAAATATCTATTCAAAATTAGTACACAACCCGTGTGGTGCACATAACTGATAATAAATCACATTATATTCGTTTCAAAATAAGTATCATTTCAAAATTTTTATTCATAATTTCGATTTGATTATAATGTGATTCCATAAAATAGTTATTTTGGTAAAATATTATCATATATTTAACAACCTATGTGAATAATAAGTATAAATATAAAATTTATATCATTTCATTACTTAAAATAATATATTTTTGTATAAAATATTCAAATAAAAACAATTAC